GACCATAATTTTGACAACCACCCCACTTAGGTGTTTAGGACGCCTCTTTGGGGAGCATTGGTGTGACGCAAAGGACGACTCCCTTGGCCTCCGAAACATCACACGCCGTAGAGAAGCCCCTGTAAAATCCCATAAAAACCTGCACGTTAGGGCGTGGATCGGCGTAGATGTAAATGAATCCTATTGAAGAAGCCACATCAACCTCAACATGTCAGGCCGTGTACAGTCTACCGCTGTGCTGTCTTTCGACATTACCTTATTACCATACTACTAGGTACCATACCATAAAGGCCTTCACAATTAGAATGGGGCTTTGGGTGATCTACTATATAGGTGTTACAAGGAACCCCGAAATAGTATTGGTAATTATTTAGGGCCCCTTTTTTTGTTGCCAGTGCTGTGTCGTTCCCTTCGAAATTTCGTTGTCCAGGCCAGTCGCCGGAAGGATCCAAGGCATCCGTCTCGGCAGAGCAGCCGCCTCCGCATGCTTTCTGTGTTTCTAGAGAGTATGTTTTTACAGAGTTTGTGTATGGGTTTCATAATATGAAACATATAATTGTGTTTTTTTGCACAGGCCTCGTGAGAGTTTGAAGGAGCTTGAATTTGTAAACGGGTCTTTAAAGGGTTTTGGAGTTCTTGAACGAAGCCCAGCAGGGTTTCGGCGCTGTCTCTGGGCGCACGACAGTTCACGAAGCTCTCAAGTGACTGATCGCGGACTGGGGTGAACCATAGTACCATAACAGGTACCCAGAGAAGTTGGAAAAACGGCGAGACTTTGTCCTCAAGACGAAATCGCAATCGGCTCTGAATCCGACTGGTCCTCGGATTGCCAACTTCCCGGGCCTCAATTAGAGTAGGGCTGGGAGGATGCATGGAAAGCAGGCCTAAGGAATACTGCTGCTACTAGTGCGCGCTTCGAATCGTCTATTGCATATAGTCTCCATTGTAGTTCCTTTTTGGGGCTACCTTATAGGATCCAAAATATAAACCTGGTTATACCAAAACAGGAACTACAATAGAGACTATAGGTAGTGCTAGTAGCCCGCCTCCGATGCACCACTTCCCGGTCTCCTCGCTGAAGGTCAACCTCGAGGATATCGGGGGAAGCTCTTCGCAGAAAAAGAACCACACAACTAAACGGTGTGTAGGGTTTAGGGTTTAGGGTTTAGGACAAAAGCACACACTAAACCCAAAACCGAAAAACCTGGACCCAACATCGCAGCTGGGCAAGCAGGGCAGGGCGGCAGGGTTTAGGGGTTTAGGATGTGGGCAGTTGTCAAAATTATGGTCCCTTTTGGGGTACCCTAAATAATAGGTGCCGTATTATAATAAGGACCCAAAAAAGGGACCATAATTTCGACAACCACCCGTGCAGGTTTCATGGTCCAGGGTGCTTGGGGTTCAGTTCAGGATGTTGGAGTTCAGGGTTTTGGGGCTGAGGGCTCGGCGATTAAGCAATCCTACCTGTTTGCCCTAAACCCTAAACCCCAAACCCCAAACCCTAAACCGTCTTGCATAAACAAGTCATTCCAGGGAACCCTCGAGACTTCAAGAAGCCAGGTTTGCTTAATGTAGAGGCCTTAATGATTAGAGTAGGTTTTTGGGGGTTCCTTATTCTAATTTTTGTACAATATACCCCAAACCCTATTCTAATTATTAAGGCCCCTTTCTGAAGCCCGGGGTTTAGGGTTTCTAGGCCATAGGGACCAGGGCTTAGGGTTCGGGCAAGTTTGGGCTCAGTAAGCTTTGCAAGGCCCAGCTGCTTGGCAGGCGAGGTGGTCTGCCACCTGCCGAAGGCCTCTCCGGTGTCTTGCAGGTTTGAGAAGAGGTTGTTGCTGTTTCGTAGGATTGTGTAGGGTTTGTGAAGGGGTTTATTGCGATCTTGAAATATGGGGGTTTCCGAAAATAGGGGACCCTAATATAGTACCCTAAATAATAGGATCCTTATTATAAAGACCCCAAAATAAGGTACCCCTAATTTTCGGAAACTCCCATATAGTATGAGAGCTTTTGGGGGGTTTGCGCAGTTCAACAGGAACCTGTGCTGCTGCTGCTGCCGTGCTCGCAGAGCAACCCAGCATTTGGGATTCAGCCATCAACGCAAGGGCACCCCAACTCGGAAACCTGAAGGGAATACTGTATGTAACGGATCGGGGCATCGTAACGAGCTTATCGGCAGGGTTGCAAGCCCCCTAAGTGACGATATATGGTATTCATAACCCTGCTCATAATGTGCTTATTACGGCAAGCCACTCGCAGATAATGTGTAGGGATACCTCATGTAGGCGACCTTGAAACAAGGATCTGACTATTTAAGGGTCTACGTATACAAACCTCCAGAAACCCCTCGTCTAGCTGGCAAGGTTTCTTACCGGCACCGCACACCTTCTGGAGGTAGTCCATCCGGCCCGATGCGCCGGCTTTCTCGGGGCAGTACGTGCCCTCAGAGCCTCAGCTCTGGGCGTTGCAACAGAGCACTCTCTGATCCCCTTTTTTGGAAGCTTTGGGCAGGGTTCATTGGGAGAGCTTTTCGGAAGGCATCCTGAAAGATCCAACATCTTCAGCTCCTCGGACTCCATGGGAAAGTCGCTGCTCTTGAGACCTCTCCTGCTGCTATATAACATATTATGGCATACTATAGTTTCTTGATAAAGTATATCTAGTATGTAGCACATATCTCCTGAAGGTCTCAGGATCAGCGCGATGTGGAACGCACGGCTTGGAGGACCGGGAGGCCTTCGAACAAGTATCTTCAACCTGCCCTTGGAGTTCCGTTCTCAGAAATGAACAACATCTCCATAACATTTCCATAATTAAGGAGAGCCCGGTCGGAACTCTTGCTTGAGCCCCTGCTTAGTAGGCTTACTACATGCCAGTCTTCAAAGTGCCTGCGCTTTGGAGCTGCGCAGCTGACCGGAGCCACTGGGGCCACTGCCGTGGATAGCTTGCCGGACTTGGCCATGCGACAAGGTCACCACAGGGGCGCCTCGAGATATGTGGCTTGCTATCCCTACTCTTCCTCAACTCAATAGGGACACTTCTAGTTACAAGGGCTCATTGTGTACCACTAAACTCCCACTACCACTACCACTACCACTACCACTACTACTACTGCTGCTGCTGCTGCTACCACGACGACGACGACGACTACTACTACTACTAGTACTACTAACACCAA